ATATATATATATATATATATATATATATATATATATATATATATATATATATATATATATATATATATATATATATATATATACGGTTTTGTATAGTAGAACCATCATTACGTCTATGAGAATCGCTACCGGTATGTAGGGCCAAGTGTATGTGTGTGTGGGTTACTGTGTTTTACAGGGACACCAAGATGTATATTGACATGGGTTTGAAATTGTTGTACTGTATTAAGCTTGTTTACAGGGTCATACCTCGTGTCCCGGTAAACGCTTAAAAATCATACTTAACGCGGGTCTTTTAAATTGTAAAATTCGCCTCAGATTCCTTGTGAAGAATGGGTTTAGGGGTAGGGTCATTTAATAAGTATTTTTTACCATATAAAATACCAACGCAATCTCACGGCAATTCGTAACGTTTTGATTTAATAAGCATTTTTTACCATATAAAATACCAACGCAATCTCACGGCAATTCGTAACTTTTTGATTTAATAAGCATTTTTTACCATATAAAATGCCAACGCAATCTCACGGCAATTCGTAACTTTTTGATTTAGTGTCTAATTCGTTTGAATTCGTACGATCTAATTCGTACAATTTAGTATGATTTGCTCATCCTCCAATGACGGTTGGGGCTAGGGGTGGGGTTAGATGCCACGCCTCCTTTTTAAAATTGTAAATTTTCGTACAACTTAACTTATACGAATTCGTACGAATTAGCCACTAAACAGACAAAACGTAAAATACTTACGTTTCCTTTTGAAATCAGGCTGAAAATACTCCTAGGGAAGGACAACATGTCAAATCTTTCAAAAAATAACTTTAATTACAGTGGCAGTATGCATGGAACATGTAATATCGGACAGGAACATGTCACATTATTGCTGCTATTTATATTTTATTGCACTGCTATTTATATTTATCATCAATTATCAGTCATCATAAAATAATAATAATAATGTAATAATGTAATAATTTTTACAGTGAAGAATAGAAAAGATATTGTCTGATAGAAAAAAAAATATTAACACATATGTGTGTTCTTAAAGTTTACTCTTCAATTTACAATAATCTAATGTGCTCTGCTTTTAGAATATGCAGATCAATCATCCTAAAACTTGATGAAATCACAAATCTTTGATAAAATAACTTTTTAAAGTGGATGCATGCATGGAAAATATATTCTTTGACAAAAATTAACACATTTAACCATCAATTATACAATAATTTGAGTCAAATGTACAACAATCTGATTTGAGCTTGTATTAATATGCTCATATCAATCATTATAAAATAGATAAAACAGAAGAAGAATCTTAGTCTTTATTATTCAAAGTCATGTTATTATGAGTGTGTTAATGTGAACAATGAGCCTGAAAATAAAGTTATATTAATATCCACAGCAACACTCTTGCATAATACCTAGCTGATTAAAAAAGGCTGCACCACGCTCCTTTTTTTCTTGTCAACAAAAAGGCAGTGCGGTGCACCTCAGGTGTTTGGAATGTAAATGCGCGTTCAGTGTTATCGGCCCCTTAGGTTGTAGTCTTTAAAAACAGCAATACTTTCTTGGCATATTAGACATACCGCTTTCTGTCCTATATTGGTGAAGAAGTATTTTGTTGTCCATTCTTCCTTACACAAACGACATTCAGAGTCTATTGTGTTTTGCCTGACTCATTTTCAGTCATGAACGTTCGAGTGCAATTTAATATCCGAGAGTGTGTTCTAATTCTGGCTGCACTAACTGTACCGCGTGCAATACTGCCATCAAATGGCGCTCACTTGTATTGCATCATTAATTTACTAATTCCGAAACCAAACCTTTCCCAGAGATGGGTTTCGGCTGGAAGGGCATCCGCTGCGTAAAAACTTGCTGGGTAAGTTGGCGGTTCATTCCGCGGTGGCGACCCCGGATTAATAAAGGGACTAAGCCGACAAGAAAATGAATGAATGAATGAAACCAAACCGTTACTCAGAAGCAGCATTTTTAAAACTTTAAAGAATTTACTGAAAAAGCCTCCCAAGATGAAGAAGACATAAAAGCAGTGATTTTTCATATTTATGTAGGCTAGAAAATAATATGTTTTGTAATATTTTAATCCTTTATATTTATATCCTATATCTATTCTTATTATATCCTATATATATCCTTAATATTTAAATTTTTTCATATGTAAAGATATTTGCCTATTGCTCTCTTGTGCGTATTAAGCAGTGTGTAAGCGAGGCGCAACTCTGCGCCGGAGTTTAGACCGGGTTAGTTTTGGTCTAATGAAAAATCTATTATAGTTTCTCAAAATAGCAACGCGCCAGCGGTCCACCTCAGAACATATGAGCGCTAATGCATTTGCTATTTAAACAGCGTAGCGCAACGCCTCAAAACAACTCTTGCGCCAAGCTGAAACTACCAAAAGACTACTGCGCCGCGCCTTGCGCCACACTGCGCCGGGTGTGTGTTAGCGTCTGTGTTTAGACGCGCTCCTTCTCTGATGATGTCAGTTTGATGCTTCAGACACAATATTCTTAGCCACGCCCCTCTTGCTTGCTTCAAGGCAATGATGCACAAAATGAAAGCCACGGCCCCTACTCAGTATTCAGATTCAGTCTTCATACTGAAGTTATAGTCTCAGCAACATGAATGTATTATGAACTATAATAATATTTCAGAGTATTGCTGTTTTTGACTATGTTCAATCTTACTGTATTCTTATTAAAGTATCGTCAGTCAACACATTCAGCTCGTGTTGAAAACAGCTTTCTTTCACTCTGCTTCGGTGTGTTTCTACTGATCCGCATCAGCAGGAGAATGCAGATCTCCAATAAGCATTAGTGCAAGGAAAGTGAATGAATATCATTTAATTAAAGAGCTGAAGCAGTTCTGCTGCTGGTGTCTGGCCTGTCAGGGGTTTTCATTTTCCCTGCGGTTCCTCTAGAGGGCTAGATTTACCTGATTTGTGTGTTGTGATCCAGCTGTAATTAATCCTTCCTCCTCAAAGGTCACACACGCGCAAGTCAGTGTGTGTGTGTGTGTGTGTGTGTGTGTGTGTTTCTTTCATGGAGTGTTTATGTGGCTCTTTTTTGTTACATCCTTACCTGCTAATGCTTTATATTATAAGTATAGTTCACCTAAAATGAAACATTCTGTCATCATTCACTCACCCTTCACTTGTTTGAGTTTCTTTCTCCTGTTAAACGTAATATTTTTGAAGCAAGCTGGAAACCTGTAATCATTGACTTCCATAGGATTTGTTTACTATGGACTGGGGTGCCATTTGAGGGGTAAACGTTAGGACAATTCCAAGGGCCCACACAATTTATAGACATATTATTATGGGCCCAAATGACTACTCCACCCCCCCCAAACCCCCCCCCCCCCCCCCCCACACACACACACACACACCACCCCCACCCCCACCCATGCACTTCACTTTTGTCAGCTAAAACACACCCTAAGGCCCCGTTTAATCTGGTGCGTTTTAGTTTTAAAACGGTGTTTTAGATCAATAACGATCCGCGTCCACACTAGCGTTTCACCTAGCGTCTCTGAACATATCTCCATCCACACTACGCCACCAAAAACGTATATCACGTGACCATTGGCGCACTCTGGGTATGCGCGTTCTAGTATAAACAGAAAGCATGCGTCTCGCTCGGCATTTGGTTATTGTTAGTCAACAAACGCCGGTTGAACATTAAACGCGATGGCAAAGAAAGCAAGAGAGGTATTTTTGTGGACAGACGACGAGGTCGAGTTGTTACTAAACGTAACAAATGAATAACTGCACAATGGCACCTAAAACAGACAATAGTGCAAGCAACGCTCACATTTCTGTGTCCATGTTGTTGTTTACAGTACTGTCTTCCGGTAGCGTTAAAGCCATGTGTTATAACCATGTGATAGGGGCATGACGAATAAGGGAAGGATACGCAATGACACAAAAGCCCCAATCAGGCAGCGAATCTCAGCAGCCCCGCCTCCGTTTTCAGATGTCTCCGTTTTTCCTCATCCACACTGAAACGGAGCAGCAGCGTTTTAGAATGAAAACAGCCTCTCCAGCGTTTCCAAAAAGCTCAGTTTTCGGCGCTCAAGAACTTCGGCGTAGTATGGACAGATGGCGTAACCGTAGCAAAACCTATGTGTTTTAAAACGAAAACGCATTAGTGTAAACGGGGCCTAAATCAACCTGTCCGCGACATCCCCTACTTCTTTCTAATCTGCGAACCTCCCCCCTCCACCTCAGTCTACACTTTCGTCAACAAAAGGTTGTCATAGGGCCTGTGCCGGCCAGCGGCGTCCCTAACTATGGATATCTGCAACTGTGTTTCCATCCACCTCCAGACACGTATGTGAACAGATAGCTGCTATGATACAGAGTATCCCCGCTCTACCGTTACAAGTTGAATGTCTTCAGCAGATATTTGATAATATCGTAATATTTCAGATTTTTGTAGTCATACGGCTCTGGATAACTCAAAACAGTGACCCCTAGTTGCCCTGTAGTCATCTTAACAACACAAACACTGGTGTCAAGCCAACGGAAACCCCGCCTCTGCTTTCATTTGACTGAAGAATGAAAAAGAAGTAATTGACATATCACACTTCAGCTTAGAGGTGCGGGCGCACAGTGTGCGGCGGTTTAAACGCAAGGCAAACAGACCGCATAAACAGAGAGCGAATCACATGGCACTTCTCGTGAAGAGTAGGGGTGTGAGCCTGGTGTCCTCGCCAAATTCCCTCTCGGCCAATCCCAATCATCCCATCCACTGAATTGGCTCCATCACTGTCTCTCCTCCTATAGCTGGTGTGTGGTGAGCACACTGGTGCTGTTGTCCTGTGGCTGCCGTCGCATCATCCAATCGCTTTGGGTGTATGGCCATACACAATAAATGTGCTACATAAATACACATTACATTACATTACATGTTGATACACACACTCCTTCAGGATGCCTATAGGAGCATTCTGGATAATATGACATCTCTCTTTCTCTCTATTTGCAGCTGAAGACTGTCGGCTGCTCTCTCAGATCCCGAAGGTTCGCTGCTTGAGAAATGAACGGCGGGAAGGTATGAACGAAATAAGCGATAAAACATGCTGAATGTTACAGTATGTCAAGACTACTTCATTTTAACAGCACTCTAAAGTCTTACAGTGATAAATAGGAAAATAGCAGGAACAAATTTCACCCATTTTAAAGTCGGAGACATCGAATTATATTGAAATGACCATAAATACAAGTTCATATTTGCATATAAAATGTTATATATGCAACATATATTTCAACAGACTGGCTGTTTAAATTTTTTTTCAAGCATTGAAATTACGTATATATTCTTACAAATTCAAATATATTAGCTATAATTGTATATTTGCGTTCATATATGGCCATTTATGAACATATATGAATCTAAACACCATATATAATATAATAAATGTCTAATATATTTGATTTCAATGGTTGAATAAAATGCAATATTTTGAAATATACATTGCAGATATGACATGTGAAATCCAGATATGAACTTGTTTGTGTGTGTGTGTGTATATATATATATATATATATATATATATATATATATATATATATATATATATATATATATATATATATATATATATATATATATATATATTAGGGATGCAGGATATATCGGAGGCCATATCGTTATCGGCTGATAAATGCTATTTTTAAGATTATCGTTATCGATCCGATGTCCTAATTAGGCCGATATCTTTAAGCCGATAAATTACGTAATTGTTGCCGCGCACGCGTGGTAAACAAAAACTTTACGGAAGGTTTTTAATCTAATATAATTATTTGTTATTATCAACGCGTTGCTTCCCATGTGTTGTTGATGTAAGATTGTATTCAGTTTGATCGGAATATTCAGATTGATTATAACAAGCGCGCGTAAGAGCTTTCACCGCGTGCGTATACACATAGAACTGACAGCCTTGAGCCTTCACAGATCAACAGGGGAGAGCCTAGGTGCACCGGTCACTGAATATATATATATATATATATATATATATATATATATATATATATATATATATATATATATATATATATATATAATAGAGTGCTACATAAATAGGGCTTTTTAGGATTTAGATTTATTTCTTACACTGAACTTTTTTTATACTGTAATCTTATACTGAGAAGAGAGACCTTGTTATGTCATATATGTTTCCCTATATGCCCATATATATGACCTATAAGCTTCATTTGTACTCTAGTTTAAGAAGAAGCTTGTTTGCAGAGTTTTATTGTGGAGCAGTGAATGTGTGATGGCCTTATCTCTCGTATGTGTCTAATGATCACGTGTTGCTCAGGTCTGATCAGGTCTCGGGTCAGAGGAGCGTCTGCGGCTTCAGCCTCCATCCTGACCTTCCTGGACAGCCACTGCGAGGTCAACACTGACTGGCTGCAGCCCATGATCCAGAGAGTCAAAGAGGTGCGCTCACATCACACACAAACCGCTGACAGGGGATAAAGGCTCGGTTCACCACAAAATAATAAACTGTCATCACTGTCAGATTGTCTTGAGTGTAGGACTCGTTTTCACAACACAACCTTTATAGGTTTTCCAAATCCCACTTTCATTTACGAGTTCTCTCGCATCATGAGATGTGCGCTTCAGAATCACCGGAAGCAGTAGGTCATTCGGGTACTACTCGTATATTGTTTTTTAAATACTACGAATTCGGACATACTATTCAGCTCGCATACTGTTTTTATGTACTTTATAGAAGGGAAAGTATGCGATTTCTGTCGCAGCTGTTGTTTTTGCTGTCAGAAAGTTATGTTTATGTTAACATGAAGTTGCTAGGCATGTGAGATTGACAGGCGGATTGGTGCAGCGGCAGCAGTAATGCAGTCGATGTGTCATTCCGTTGTGGGAAAGAAGGAGCTCTATAGAAAAATCCAGCTTAAACCAGCCTAGGCTGGTTGGCTGGTTTTAGCTAGTCGACAAGCCTGGTTTTAGAGGGGTTTTGGCCATTTCCAGGCTGGTTTCCAGCCATTTCCAGCCTGATCTTAGCTGGTCAGGCTGGGATATGACCAGCTAAAACCAGCTTGACCAGCCTAGCCAGGCTAGAAGTCCAGCCAAAACCAGCTATGTCCAGCTTAAACCAGGCTGGTGAAGCTGGTTTTAGCTGGATTTAGCTGGTCATTTTCCAGCCTGACCAGCTAAGACCAGGCTGGAAATGGCCAAAACCCCTCTAAAACCAGCCTGGTCAACCAGCAAAAACCAGCCAACCAGCCTAGGCTGGTTTAAGCTGGATTTTTCAGCAGGGAGTTGAGCCAAATCTACGTCCCTACTCTCACCTATGGTCATGAGCTTTGGGTCATGACTGTGGCCCCGTTTACACTAATGCGTTTTAGTTTGAAAACGCATAAGTTTTGCTACGGTTACGCCATCCGTCCACACTACGCCGGAGTTCTCGAGCGCCGAAAACGGAGCTTTTTGAAAACGCTGGAGAGGCCGTTTTCATTCTAAAACGCTGCTGCTCCGTCTCAGTGTGGATGAGGGAAAACAGAGACATCTGAAAACGGAGGCGGGGCTGCAAACGTTCGCCTATCTGATTGGGGCTTTTCTTCAATATTAAGTAGCCCACACACAGTTCAGTCCTGCATCCTCTTCTTGTAAGTCAAGACTTCACAAGTTTGATCAAGGCTGCATCTCTTCTTCTCAGTTTGATATGGAAAACATACCGAAGACACGGGTAAATCTTCAAAGGGAACAGTGTACTTTATAATTTCATTCACATCACCCTGGCTACGTTGTTTCACTTTCTCAACAATAAAATGTAAACATGATTTAAGGAACTGCCTATTTTCTTTTTAATATTAGCAACTTAACAGACAGCAGAAATGCTAAGTGCCGTGCTGCATATATGAGCGTCATCTTCACTGTGTGGATATTTATAACAAAACGGAGCCTATAACAACTGCCTCCTTTCAATTTCAGTGAAAATACGAAACACACCCTCTCTTTTGCTGGATATCAGTTTTAATAATCGATAATTATAAAAGTATAACAATACAATAAGTTTATACATTGTAGGAAATAAAGGCAAGCGATTAGTCAATGTACCTGGATTAATCATTAACTTATCTTTGCGCTTAACCAAAACATGTTACCCGTGAACAAGTAACTTAATAGATTCCAATGATCAAAGTCACAGAATTGGCCTATGTCGTTAGATAAAGACAACAACATGAATGAAATATCACGTTTAGCAAATATAGCGAGATTAGATCCAGCGGGAGATGCTTGATGAGCAGTCGAGATATATCCAGCTGCAGGCCCGCAGAACCACACACGTTTGAGGCACACACAATCTAGGACACACAATCTAGGCAAACCATATATGGTAACTGACTCTTTAGCATTATCGCCACCTATTGAATTTCACAAATATGGTTTCCCATTTCAGTCAATTTTATTATTATATCGTAACGATCATTTTAAAGTCTCTGCAGTTTCTGAACTTAAATTATGTCAATAAAAATAATTGGTTAAAGACACTTATGACTTTATTCATGTGTCCATATACACAAAGAAAACATTATAGACCGTCTAATTGTTGGATTAAGTGTAATAAACTAATTCAAGCTCTTAATATTATCATACTTCGTTAAAATCACGTTGTTGTAAAGGTAATAAAGACTGATCAGCTATAATGACTGATTAAAAACTGTTCACTCTATTATATTGAATGGCGATCGGAAACAATGCTCCCCATTCGGCCGTCTCAATCGCAATATTTGTGAAATAAAGTAAAGTAAACACTATTGTTTATTGTGTACAATATTTATTAATCAAATATATCAAAATATATCGATGACGATGTCCAAAAAGACGTTATAACTTTAACATCCGTCATAACCATATATGGTTTGCCTAGATTGTGTGTCCTAGATTGTGTGTGCCTAAAACGTGTGTGGTTCTGCGGGTCTGCAGCTGGATATTATTGGAGAAGTCCGACAAGCAGAGCTCTCATCTGGGTAGAAATGCTGGAGCGCTTGCCCGAGAGTGTGTGTGTGGTCACATGATGTGCGTTTTCATCGTTTTGGTGTAGACGGAGAGCTGTTCAGAAACGCTGGGTAAAACGCGAGTGTGGACGCGGATCGTTTTCATTCTAAAACGCCGTTTTAAAACTAAAACGCACTAGTGTAAACGGGGCCTGTAAGGACAAGATCTCAGATAAGAGCGGCCAAAAAGAGATTCCTTCACAGGGTGGCAGGGGCGCACCCTTGTTGATAGTGTTAGGAGCTCTGTCACCCAGGAGGGGCTCGGAGTAGATCCTTGAGAGAAGTCAGCTGAGATGACTCAGAGATCTGTTTCGAATTCCTCCTGGTGTTCCAGGCATTTCCCATCGGGAAAAGACCTCGGGGAAGACCCAGGACATGCTGGAGGGACTATGTTTCTCGGCAGGCCTGGGAATGCCTCAAGATCCCATCAGAGGAGATGGAGGAAGTGTCTGGATAGAGGCAATTCTGGGGCTCTCTCCTGAGACTGCTGCTTCGGAGAAGTGGAAGAATATGAATAAATGAATCCTGATGCTGTGTTCACACCAAACACAGAACACGCGGATATTCGCGCGTAAATAGCCACGTGAACATTTAAGTTTACTTGCTTCATTCGCGCGGTAAACCCTGCTTCATCCGCTTCATTTGTGCGTCAAATTCACTTCAGAACAGACGCGGATTCGCGTGATGGGCAGGGCTTCTGTCTGCCCGATGACTCAAGCTTCGTTGCTGAAAATAACAGTGTTTATGTGCTTTTTAAACGCTGAAAAACAGTGTTGATACGTTTAGGGTCGTGTCTGAGTCCACTACATCATTTTAGAGGTGCATCCAGCTCTGTGAGCTCATACCCTCCTCCAGAATCTTAACCTGGATGATGGAGTCTTTCAGCGCTGCTTCTGACTGAGCCAAGCCCAGTTGGATGAACTGTTGTTGGTGTCAGCTGGAGGACTTCCCCGAGCACACCAACAACGGGTGTACATCATGCTGTGTTCACACCAGACACGGAACGCACGGATAAATCATGCTATTCGCGTTTAAATAACCACGTGAACATTAGAGGTTACTCACTTCATTCGCGCGTCAAACCCCGCTTCATTTGCACCTCAAATTCACTTCCTAACAGACGCGGATTCGCTTGATGGGCAGAGCGTCTGTCTGCCCGGTGACTCTAGCTTCATTGCTAAATGGCTAACATGGATTTTATGAAGAAAATAACAGTGTTTGTGTGCTTTATGAAGGCTGAAAAACAGCGTGGATACGTTTAGGGTCGTGTCTGAGTCCACTACATCCTTTCAGAGGTGCATCCAGCTCTGTGAGCTCATAAACTCCTCCAGAAACTGAACCTGGCTGATGGAGGCTTTCAGCGGTGCTTTTGACTGAGCCCAGCCTAGTTTGATGAACTTTTTGTCGGTGTCGGCTGGAGGATTTCCCACGCGACACCTACAACAGGCAATACGTCACAATCACGCCCCCACAAGAGCAAGCTCCTGACTGGTTAACGCGGCGCGAATGTCCACTAAAGTTCAGATTTTTTAACTGGAATGATTCGTATGAAACGCACGTTAACCGCGACAAATGCTCAATTTGGGGCACGCCATTAGCGCATATCGCGCCATTCTCACCTTGCAATTTGCATCACTCGCGCCGCGCCATTCACACATATCGCGCCGCAGGATGTCTATTCGCGCGTTTGCATTGACCTAACATGTAAATCACTCGCGCTTGACGCGCGTTCCGCATCTTGTGTGAACACAGCATCACAATCACACCCCCACAAGAGCAAGCTTCTGATTGGTTAATGAGGCGCGAATGTCTGCTAAAGTTCAGATTTTGAACTTGAGGGATTTGTGTGAAATGCACGTTAAGCGCGTCAAACACGCAAAACGCTCAATTCATGCCGCGCCATTCACGCGTATCGGTTGGAGTGCGACCTGTTTTTTTTTTTTTCTAAAAACGTGCTGAATAGCTCTTCCCTGCCGCTATATTGGTTCATATTAGCTGTCAATCACTCAAGACTTTCCGCTGTCAGATGACAGGGAGGGAGCTTTTGGATGGCTCTGCAGCGAGCACCACTTGTGTGAGCTTTTGTGACCGCGGGGAATGCAAACGGCTGAAGAGTGAAAAGTACACTGAATCTCGATGCGTTGCATGCGCTGCGTGTTCAGCCAACACAATCTCACGGCAATTCGTAACTTTTTCATACGTTTCCTCGTGAGATCAGGCTGCAACAGCGCAAATGTCTGCTAAAACACCATCGCCAAAGAAGCTTGCCTTTACTGAGTTTAAACTGATGCGGGTTATAACAAGGAACAGTATTGCGACGGTGGTTATTGGGAGAATAGTGCTCTTCCCCCCTCATATTGGGCCGGCTGACTCGCATGCTTTTCCACAAACACAGAAAAAAGAAATTCAGCGCGTAAC